TCTGTTCTGGTAAAAAAAAAAGTCTTAAATCTGATCCAAAGTGTTCATCCTGATACCAGACCCTCAACATTGATATGCTCAGAGGCGCCCCTTGTCTATTAAGACAATGGGAAACGTCAGCCTTTGCTAAGGATGATCATGAAAGCAATGGACGAGGAGATCTGCCACTCGCAGGTGGTCCAGGCTGGGACTGTACATACCTGAACTGTCGGGCACCTAAGCAGTAGAGAGGTACAGTGTGAGAGGTGCACTATGAGCAAATTGTGACATCTGGCGCCCTCTATTGGCAAAAACAGTTATTGTTACAATGCCTTACCATACGTTCATTCATTCAATACATATATATTGAAAATGAATACATATTTCTGATCGCACTTTGGCAACGTAACTATTCATTAGATTTATTTTAGGTAAGATTCCGTAGCTTGTGGTTTTTTTTTTTTTTTTTTTTTTTTACTTTTTTTTTTTTTTCCTACCTATTCTTTTTTACATTTTCTGAACTGCAGGTCTTAATGCCCTAATCCAGTTGACCAGAACATTTAATAAGCTCTGTAGTTGGCTGGCGGGCTATAAGGCATTCTAATTAATCAAGAGATCAAGGTTTAGCATGCAAGGCCTTTGATGGCATGTACTTTTGGCTTGAAGTTGCTTAAACACAGCCTGAGGTCTAGTTGAACTTGTTAATGATTTTCAATTGATACCTAATCTGCTCCTTGCACAAACACTCCCAGAAGTGTCATTGGGAATGTGGTCTAGGCACTGGCTGCCCTGCACAGTATCTCACTAAGTGGGCTGGGGACACCTCCTGATAATCTTTTCAACTGGAGGAAGACCTGGACTGTGTTAAAGCCTTGAAATAACCGTACAAATCTAAATGGCATGCAGACCTAATAGTCATCTAAACGGCAGTTGTGTTTTTATTAAATGTGAAATAAAAATATAATAGGATTATATTGTCAACCACAGAGAGCCTGGCTTTAATTGCCTCCTTATTTAGTGCCAGAATCAGGTCCTCAGCAAACTTCAGTAGATGGCTTTTACATTTAATCCCAATTTGCTTGGCCACCTGAAGTCGCTGTATGTCCAGACGGGTTTCTTGTAATCATAAATTTCCTGTATGCTACTTTGACAAGTACCCCCAACCTTCTCTTTTTTTTTTTTTTTTTTCTCTCCCTTCCCCCAACCTGCAGAAATTGATTGCACCTTTTTTTTTCCTCTCCCTGGGTTTGCATGGTTCACAGTGCTCACGGAGCGCCCCCTAGTGGTCAAATCATTCCAGAGACCTTGTAGGCTGATTGCGTTTAAAAAAAGCACAAAGTTGATCAAATAAAAGCATTTGAGTTTCTAGTTTTCATTACGGTGAGAAAATAAAATGCCACATTTAAAGTACTTTGCTGCAAGTGCAGATAAATCATAACTATTGTTCTTTGTTTATCTTTTTGCCTTATTTGTATTCTTTGTACTTTACAATGTATACTTTATAAACCGAAAATATTTTCGTGATTGCTTGGAGGAAACAATATTTGTTCTGTCTTTTTATATTGACAGTTTAATTCGAGAGTCCAGGAACTAATCCTCTTTATTTTTTATAATGCAAAATAAAAAAATAATTACATGTGTGTATTATTTTATAATATAAATAAAATACTATACTATATTTTTATGCTGGGAATATATATATATATATATATATATATATATATATATATATATATATATAATATATATATATATATATATATATATATATATATATAGAATTGTATAATTTTTTTTACTATACATTTACAAATAATAAAATATATATGTGTGAATACATTCTACACATATACTTGTTTTAAATATATATTTTATAAAATCAATATTATATTTTTATATTGGGGGGAGTGTGTGTGTGTGTTTTATAAATTGGATAACATTCATTTTAAAATTGAGTAAGAGTTCAGTGATTTACCATGTTGCACACGCCCAGTCTACTACATGAAGTCAAAAAGCCAATCTAAATTTTTAGAATCCCACTGTTATTTCTTTGTTTAAAATATTGTCAGAACGAAAAAAAATCGTTTTAATAAGAAATTCTATCTTGGATATTTTGCTCATATTAATGCTTGGCTTTTTTTTTTTTTTTAAACATACGAATAAATGCAAAATATTTGATATTATGGCATTTGGCTTGCAGTTCAAGTTGAACTTTGCATCAGAATATTTATATAATATTTATAACTTGAGCTTTATTGCGTCAAGCAGTGTACATAGTCAGTTCTTGCCGATTCAGACCAAAGTTATATTTAAAAGTCTAAATGAATTGAGAATAATGCAGTTAAGAATTGAATTGTGGAAGAAGGTTCTATGGAAAGTCCAAATAAGTTCTTGCTTATTCAAACCTAATCATTTTGTGTTGTCTATTTATAAATGTCTGCACACTACTTTGACTCAGGAATAACTCATTCTCCCAACTGAAAGAGTTTAGAGCTTTAATTTTTTTTTTGTAATATATACATATTACAAAATATACATAAATGCATTACAAATGATCTGATAAACCGTATAAATTGAGGAATGCAAATGTTTGCACCCATTCATATCTCTTTGTATGATTGTTTTTATGTTAGAGTTTGTGTAGACTTTTTTTTTTTTTTTTTCAGGGTTTTTAATAACCCCATTTTTGTGTCCCCCACACCTCATTAGTAGTGGTGCTTCCACTGCAAGATGATTCAATGATAATCATGCTATCATACATGGTGTTACTCTGTGGGATGGGCATGTGGGATGGTTAATGAATGGAGTTCAGTGTAATAAAGCATTATCTCTTTGCTGCATTCTCTCTCCATTTATTGTCCTGTCAGGAGGAAGGATAGGTAATGATTTCAGAGCTCTGCTATGGAAAAGGCCACTATGGAAGGAACTTCTAGTACTGCTGCTGGTGAATTATTGGGAAATGATCAGATGGGAATGCTGATACAAACTCTATGGCTGCAGTCATAAACTGATCTTCCAGCCACACAATGTAGAGGAATAAGCACCCAGACAGGGAATTTATATTCCAGGGTAATAAGATTTGTGTTGCAGCCTTGCAATAAATAGATGAGATGAAGAGCACTGGTGGGCCCAGGATAGTAACTCTGGATGGCAGAAGCTGCAGTTCCTTGTGTGGGGCTATCTCCAGCTCCCTCTCTCTGGGATTTGATTTCCTGAACAAGTAAAACCAGATGAGGTAGGACAGAGAGCCCCAGGCCTTTGTTCCCTGGGCAGATAATGATGTTTAGGACTGCGATGGTCTATTCTGAACATTTGAGCTGGGGAAGAAAGGGGGGGGGGGGGGGGGGGGGTAGAGGAAGAATGTATAGAGCTTGCATTGGATTATTCATCAATGGCTGAAGGTTTGGGCTGCTTGTGAGGTTTCAATAGATTTTGTGTGCAATGCAATGGTAGTTAGTATACATATACATAGCTGGGGTGCTTGGAATAAATTAATATAAACGCTGGGAGGGCAATGCAGTCTGTTGTAGAAAATGAAGATGTTCATGCATGATATATAAAATAGTATGTGTGATCGATATCTATAAATCGTTTTTTTTTTTTATTTTGGGGTGTGCATGTTGTATGCATGTATGTGTGTGTGCATGTATATATGTATATGTGTAAATAGATACATATGTGTGTGTGTGTGTGTGTGTGTATATATGTATATGTGTGTGTGTGTGTGTGTGTGTATGTATATATATATATATATATATGTGTGTATGTATGTATGTATGTATGTATGTGTATATATATATATATATATATATATATATATATATATATATATATATATATATGTTTGTAAATATGCACACATTTGTGGGTGTAGTGTACGTATACACAAAGTGTAGAAAATAAATGATAAAACAAAAATTGATTGAGATATATATAGATATAGATCTATATATCTATCACAATTTTCTAATTGAATCTTTTGGATTGGAATTTCTATTGGATCTTTTTGTTTGGACTTTATTTTTATTATATAGCATTTAAAACAATTACTATACATGATGTGACATACATATATACACACACAGGTATATCTATATGTAAATATAGATACAAGGCATCTGTGTCCAGGGTGTGTGTAATATATTTTAATCTTAATGTCCTTGATCACAAAATATTTTATATTTTTAGAGTTTATCTTTGTAATATAGCTTTTGTAAATATGATTTATTATATAAAGTTATACTGCATATGTCAGTGAGAGGCATACAGATGTATGCATCCATCATTCCTATGACCTATAACAACATTTGTATTAGATTCCATTTTGTCTGCAAGAAATTCTCTCCCCCATTCACACATATTTCTGTCCCTTCTCTAATAGGAATACAATACATCGAACGATCCTCTCCATACGATCTGTAATTCTCATGCACCTTGTTAGATATCACCCCCCCCCCCCAATCATTATCTGTGCGATGTATATGGAGCAGAAATGTCTTTAGCAGATCAGGGACCTTCAAATGGAGTACCAGATGTGCGGGCTGCCACTGGCAGCTGGGAGGATTGCTTAATCCAAATGTTATTCGTTAGTACTTTATGGTTTCGGGGTTTGGACATCGTTGGGAAGTCTATTAGCACACATAAATGATAGGAGCAGCGCAGAGATCGGAGCCGCAGAGAGCGGATAGCGCCGCACTGTGCCGTGTCGGAGCCGTCCGTACAGATCCGCTAAGCGGCAGGTCTAGTGATGTTCATCGAGTCCTCCCCTGACTATTGCAATCCTCCTTCTTGTATGCCACTGCATTGATAACATTCAATCGAATTTTTTTAATACTGCTTTTTCTATTCTTTCATAATTCATTTATTACTGTGATTTTTTTTCTTTTATTTTTATTTTTTGTTTATGTTTTTAACTGAATGTTTCATATTTGTTGACTAAAACTTTTTCAACGAAACTTATTTTTTTTTTCTTATTGTTTGATTTTTTGCATTTTTCATTCTTTTTTTTTTTTTTTTTTTTCAGACAGCCTTAGAACTTTTGCCGTGGTCGGGAAGTTTTGGGGTCCCTGGAGCAGCCATGGTGTCTAGATATTTGCTGCTTGTCCTGCTGGCCTTTTCTTGTATCTCTCAGGTGATGGTGGAAGCAAGTTCATGGTGGTAAGCTGACATTTCGTTTTTTGTTTTTTTTTTGACTAAACAAGACACAAATATATATTTACTTCTGTTTTTTAAATTCAACCTATTGGTCCCCTTGTAGTTTGGAAGGGATAGGGCTGGTATAGGCACTTGTCATAAAGTTCTATCATTAGAACTAAATATAAAGTCAAATAGGCGTCACTTGTGTCCCCCCCCCCCCCCCCAAAAAAAAAAAAATAAATAAAAAAATCAGGGCACCTGTTTTCATAGACTCAGTCCCTCTGTGCTGCATTTACTGGATCTTTTCTGTAGCTGCAATGCATGTCTGTTTTGGATCTATCAGGACTTGAAATAAAGTGGTTGATTTAAAGGCAAATAGTCTTTGTACCTTTTCAAGGGAATCTTCCCCAGAGCTTGGTGAATGCTGTGCTATTTCACTTTGATAAGAATATACTGTGACATGCAAGCGGAAAAAAAAATCGCATTTCTGCTTGCAAATAAGTGGATGATAGAAATGAACTTATTAAGAAATTATATATATCTTCTCATTCACTTGGCTCTGGGGCAAATTCCCATGCGAAGTGCAATAGTCTCCTGGCCTTTAGTAAATCCACTCCAAAGTCTGATCTGTGAACAAGTATGGAAGGGTTGTTGCTCCTTAGGACCCATCCAGATTCAGGCTTTCCTTCTCCAGCTGGCACTGGAAAGTAAAACCTGAAGTCCGATTGGCTAAGAGTGACAAGTTGGCATTTCATGCTCTGGTTCTCAGAGGCTGACCTCCTATGTCTCTTTTATCATCACATTTAAAGGTGTCTTGTTATACACGCCACCAATGTTTTGACTGTAGGTATGACCTGCACTGTCTATGTATGGATTATTGCTGCTCTGTCTATGTTAATGTAGAGAACCACAATGTGATAAATGACATATCAGTGCTGTCCCCATGCTAATACATAGATCCAGCTGTGATGAATGAAAGCCAGTTATACATATCACAGATTATGCTTTTATTATGCATATATATTATGAGAGCACATAAGACAGGATTAATATTTTGATTATTGCTTTATTACATCTCTTCACACCTCTGTACTCCAAATACCAGCAAGTCTCACACTTTGAGACATGGGGGCTGGTGTGCGAAAACAGGTGCAGATGGGGGGCTGCTAGTAGAATTAAGTACTTTGTTGTATCTTCCCACTAGACGAAAGCCCTAAGCTGATTTGAGGGAGATAATACCTATAGCAGTCAGTCTGATTGTTATAGGTAATACCCCCTCAAATCTGATTGTTAATGTGGGGGTTCACATCTGATTTAGGTGTGTTTTTTTATATGCACTTTAGGTGCAGTATGTAACAAAAAAATGGCAGTGCACATAAAGTGCATGTAAAGCACACAGGTGTGAACAAAGCCTAATACTATTATCCCTTCCAGCCTGTATGATTGTTATAGGTATTATCCCCTCCAACCTGATTGCTATACATAATAGGCAGCACAGTGGCTAAATGGATAGCATTTCCACCTGGCAGTACTAGATTGGTTTGAATCCCAACCACGGCACCATCTGCCTGGAGTTTGCATGTTCTACAGATGTAAAGGGGAATTCTGAAGATTCAGATGTAAAGACTAAAGTATAGAAAATCTGTGGACTCTGATGTACAGGAGGGACTCTTGTGATTAATTCCATATGATTAGAAATGTTTTTAATGAAAAAATATGTTACTAAAAAAAACATATTGCATTGCACCGCTAAAGTGTTGAGCTTTGGTTTGAAGAAAAGGTGGCAACCCTACCCAAGACTGCAGCACATGTGAAAATATGGGCAGCACAGTGGCTAAATGGTTAGCACTTCTGCCTGGCAGTACTAGGGTCGTTGATTCAAGTCCCAGCCACTGCACCTCCTGCCTGGAGTTTGCATGTTCTTCCTGTGCCTGCATGGGTTTCCTTCAGGTACTCCAGTTTCCTTTCACACTCCAAAGACGTGCTGGTAGCTTAATTGGATCCTGTCTAGATTGGCCCTTATATGTGTATGTATGAATGTGAGTTTAGACTGTTCTACCCTTGAGGGTTAAGGACTGATGTGAATGTACAATATATATGTATGTATGTATATAGTGTGTGTGTGTGTGTGTGTGTGTGTGTGTGTGTGTAAAGCACTGCATAAATTGACAGCACTATATAAGTACCTGTAGTAAGTAATATTGCTCCAATGTGATTGGCGTAGGTATTATCTTTTATAATTCCTATGGGTAATATCCCGTTTGATTTGAATATTTGTTAATGGTTCTGCCCCCGCCAATCTGAATGACTGCTATCGGTATTGTCACCTACAATGTGGTTTGGCATAGGTATTATCCCAAGGTGATTTTGCCGTATTTACCAAGTGATTTGCCGTAGGTATTATACCAAGGTGATTTGCCGTAGGTATTTTTCTATGTGATTTCTACGGGTATTTCCTTTACTGACATAATCCCTAAATATTGACTTCTTGAAACACCATAAAAAGCTTTACCACTTCTGTAGTTCCTCTATGTAATATAATGGTTGAAACAATTGGTTTATTAAATATATAGAGCACTCTATAAAGTGTTCCCTTTTTATAAACTATAAGGTCAATTTACAAATTGAATAAGGTGAAGCTGTGCTCAATTCACTTATCCAGCTATTTAAAAACAAAACTCCTGTTCTCTGGCACATGATTGGGTATTCACAATCTCACATGATAAGCAAAGTGAATATGCTCTACTCCTTTAGGAAATGAACATTTGTGTATCCCATCTACGGTGTTGTTTTCCTATAAGAATGATGTATTGTATCACATTTACAGTACTGATTTGTTATGAGGCAGATGCAATGGGGTTGATTTACTAAAACTGGAGCATGCAAAATTTGGTGCAGCTGTGCATTGGAGCCAATCAACGTCTAACTTCAACGTGTTCAATTAAGCTTTTGCAATAAAACCTGGAAGCTGATTGGTTTCTATGCAGAGCTGCACCAGATTTTATCTCCAATTTTAGTAAATAACCCCCAGTGTATCACATCCAAAGGCGGACTGACAACTCATGGGACCCCCGAGCAATAGGGGATCATGAGGCCCCTGTGTCCTTGCCCATACTCAAAAAAGCCTATGAAAAAGGTACCGGGGCATCTCATGGGGCCCCCTACTGACCCCGGGCCCTTGGGCAGTGCCCGAGTTTCCAAATGGTCAGTCCGCCCCTGATCACATCTGCAGTGTTGGTTCTCTATGTTGGCTGGTTCACACCAGAATGTGGTACATGTGCTGCCTTTGCTGTCTTCTTCAGGGGACAATATGTTGTAACATCATCCAAAAGGCAGATCGCAACACAGGACAATGCGTTTTGGTTGGCACATTTTTCAAAAGTAGTGCATGCATTGCTTTTTGTGTGTTCAGGTGCGATTTACATCCCATTCAATTTGCACTGCGCTGGAATTGATTCTGGCGTGAAGTGCAGTTTCCCTGTTAGCAAAGGCATGTAGAGTTTTCCCTTAGCTTTGTAAATTAAACTGTACTGACTTCCCTGAAATACCAGAGTGATTCCCACCTCTTCTGTAGTGTCTGATCTGTTGCGCTGTCTCTCTCTGACACTGATACAATGGATCACACCTGCAGTGATTTCTTTCCCTTACACTGCTATAACGTATCACATATGCAATACTTTTTCTTACACTGATACAATGTATCACATCTGTAGGAATCTCACTGACACTGATACAATGGATCACACCTACAGTACTCTCTCCTACACTGATACAATGGACCACATCTGCAGTAATCTCTCCTACACTGATACAATGGATCACACCTACAGTACTCTCTCCTACACTGATACAATGGACCACATCTGCAGTAATCTCTCCTACACTGATACAATGGATCACATCTACAGTACTCTCTCCTACACTGATACAATGGACCACATCTGCAGTATCTTCCTACACTGATACAATGGACTACATGCAGTACTCTCTCCTACACTGATGCAAAGGATCACATCTGCAGTGATTTTTTCCCTTACACTGCTATAAATGTATCACATCTGCAGTATTTTTCTTACACTGATACAATGTATCACATCCTACAGTAGGAATCTCACTGACACTGATACAATGGATCACACCTACAGTACTCTCTCCTACACTGATAAAATGGATCACACCTACAGTACTCTCTCCTACACTGATAAAATGGATCACACCTACAGTACTCTCTCCTACACTGATGCAATGGATCACACCTACAGTACTCTCTTACTCTCCTACACTGATGCAATGGACCACATCTGCAGTACTCTCTCCTACACTGATGCACTGGACCACATCTGCAGTACTCTCTCCTACACTGATACAATGGATCACATCTGCAGTACTCTCTCCTACATGGATGCAATGGATCACACCTACAGCACTCTCTCCTACACTGATGCAATGGACCACATCTGCAGTACTCTCTCTTACACTGATACAATGGATCACATCTGCAGTACTCTCTCTTACACTGATGCAATGGACCACATCTGCAGTACTCTCTCCTACACTGATGCAATGGATCACATCTGCAGTACTCTCTCCTACATGGATGCAATGGATCACATCTGCAGTACTCTCTCCTACACTGATACAATGGATCACATCTGCAGTACTCTCTCCTACACTGATACAATAGATCACATCTGCAGTACTCTCTCCTACACTGATACAATGGATCACATCTGCAGTACTCTCTCCTACACTGATACAATGGATCACATCTGCAGTACTCTCTGCTACACTGATGCAATATATCAGATCTACATTTCAGTTTCCCTGTTGATGATCATAGACTGTCTGCTACACTGATGCAATATATCATATCTACATTTCAGTTTCCCTGTTGATGATCATAGACTGTTTTCTTCGTATAGTGAATATCTTGAAGCCATGTCTTTAATTTCCATGCACCTGATTGCTTGGTCAAAGTGAACACGGCTTTTTTTTTTTCCACTAAGCCAAGTAACATTCTGCAAATCACCCCCAATGTATCATGCCTGCAGGACTTGTTCTCTATGGGACTGACACAATGGTGTTGACCTAGTAAAGGAAATAAGGCTGCTCTACTACCAGAGGAAATGCTGACTTTGGAGGAATTTTGGTGAATAAGGTGACACTGTTCAATGTGAATATCCAACCATGTGCTAGTGAAAAGTCTTTTAAAATTTCCCTCATATGTGATTGGGTATTCAAAGTGACTTCAGGTTTACCTTCGTTACTGACATTCACTTTGCTATGTGAACAACCTCCTGTTTCTTAAGTAAACCGGCCCCCAAGGGGTCATGTTGGCAGTACTTATTCTCTATAGGACTGATATGTTGTGTCTGCACAAAACTTGGGAACAATACAATTTTGCTGACTTTAAAGAAGTTGATAATGTTCACTTAAAGAGTGAAGTATCATTTTAACTATCCAATCATGTGAAAAGTGACTTCCTATTTCATCCGCATGATTGGATAATTGAAACACACTTTCCTTTTTTCCCTGTGAACATTTTCAACTCCTTTAGTCATTCAGCCTGAATGCATGATGGTCTGTAGTATTTTTTTCTATATGGAACTCATACAATGTATCATGACTGCAGTTCTATATGGGACTGATACAAACCAGCATGACTGCAGTACCAGCTCTCTATGGCAGTGTTCCTCAGCCTTTTTTTCAACTGCAGCACCCTTTAAGGGCCTGTTCACACTATAGAAATGCAGTCCAGATGCGTTTTTGCATGCACATTTTTTGTGTCTTTATGCATTCTGGTGCGTTTTTGATGCGTTCCAGTGCATTTTTTATGCATTTCAGTTATTTTTCCCTCCTTTTTTTTTTTCTCTTCAATTGAAATAGGGACATATGCGTTCCAGTGCCTTTTTGGTGCATTCCAGTGCAGTTTTGACGCGTTTTACCACGTTTCAGTACAGTTATGTGCAAAAAAAAAATGCAGCATGTTCTACGTTCTGTTTTTTTTGTTTGTTTTTTTTTGCCACTGGAACTGCAAGCACTGATGTGAACTATCACATTGACAACCATATAACCTACTTTCTCTGCATTTTGGATGCAGAAAAAAAGCAACTGAAATGCATGTAGTGTGAACTGCATCCAAAAATCTTGCGGTCAATTTAAAATGTAAAAACATAATTGTTACTTGTGAATGGGAAACCTGAGCCTGGGACAATGCACACAACTGCCTTTTAATGAAAGTAACTTCAGAAGTCCCCTTACACATCACAGTCTCCCATCACAAGGTTCCCCTTATACATCAGAGGCCCTCCATCACCACAGAGTCCTGCCATCAGTTGGGGTAACCTAGAGGGGATCCCATGGTGCCAAGGTATCCTGTTTGCTCTATGGGACTGGTACAATGCATCATGACTGCAGTACTTGTTCTCGATGGGGGCTCATACAATGCATCCTGACTGCAATACTTGTTCTTGATGGGGCTCATACAATGCATCCTGACTGCAATACTTGTTCTTGATGGGGCTCATACAATGCATCCTGACTGCAATACTTGTTCTCTATGGGGCTCATACAATGCATCATGACTACAGTACTTGTTCTCTATGGGGCTCATACAATGCATCATGACTGCAGTACTTGTTCTCTATGGGGCTCATACAATGCATCATGACTGTAGTACTTGTTCTCGATGGGGCTCATACAATGCATCATGACTGCAGTACTTGTTCTTGATGGGGCTCATACAATGCATCATGACTGCAGTACTTGTTCTCTATGAGGCTCATACAATACATCCTGACTGCAATACTTGTTCTCTGAGGCTCATACAATACATCCTGACTGCAGTACTTGTTCTCTGAGGCTCATACAATACATCCTGACTGCAATACTTGTTCTCTGAGGCTCATACAATACATCCTGACTGCAATACTTGTTGTCGATGTGGCTCATACAATGCATCATGACTGCAGTACTTGTTCTCTGAGGCTCATACAATGCATCATGACTGCAGTACTTGTTCTCTATGGGCTCATACAATGCATCATGACTGCAGTACGTGTTCTTGATGGGGCTCATACAATGCATCATGACTGCAGTACTTGTTCTCGATGGGGCTCATACAATGCATCATGACTGCAGTACTTGTTCTCTATGGGGCTTATACAATGCATCCTGACTGTAGTAGTTGTCCTCTATTTGGCTCATACAATGCATTGTGTATGTACATCTTAATTTATTTGGAAGAAATACAATGTTTTACATCTGCAGTGCTGTTTTTTTTCATTTCTCAGTTGATTAAAGCTACAAATATTATGTCAGTGTCCTACCACTGATATAATGTGTTTCGCCTGCTCTGCTGTCTAAGGATGAATTAGGCGAATGATCTTCTACCTTACAAATATTATCAGAATGTTGCACACACTGATACATTGTATACTGTAAGCACTGTGGAACAAATCTGCACTCTCCTGACAAATCTAATCATTCATGCAATACTACAGCTCCCTGCTCATTCTAAAATACTTGTCATATATTGTCTTTCTGCAGGTCACTGGCAATGAACCCCGTCCAGCTCCCCGAAGTTTACATTATTGGGGCTCAGCCTCTTTGCAGCCAGTTAACGGGGCTCTCCCAGGGGCAGAAGAAGCTGTGTTTGCTCTATCAGGACCATATGCAATATATTGGGGAGGGAGCAAAAACTGGGATCAAAGAGTGCCAGTACCAGTTCAGGCACAGGAGGTGGAACTGCAGTACTGTGGATAACACATCGGTGTTTGGCAGAGTTATGCAAATAGGTAAGACCATTTATCTAAATATACATATGACGTGTCTGTTAGAAATATTTTATGTATTTTAGCATTTTTTGTTATTTTTCTTACAATTTGTTTGTGAGGCAGATATGAGACTTTCCAGGTCAGTGATTCTCAGCCTTCCTACAATACATACCTCATTCTAAAAAAATAAAACCCTAAGGTCATCAAATACCTTGTACCCTTTGCCATGGATTTATATACTTTCTAATTTTGCATCCATATTTTTTTTTTTTTAAACAATCCCTTTTATTTTATTTCTTTTTTCTTAAAGTAAAACTAACTACTGATATCTATTTTTTTAAAATATTGTAATTAATTTTTTGTAGTTGGCAGAAGTACCACCAGGCATTGAGTTACCCCTAGTTGAAAACCGTTGCTCATGAGTTTGAGTAAACTGTGCAAAGAAGACCAAGATAATGTGCAAAGTGCTACCATGCATAAAGATCAATTGTCAACTGGGATGTATTTTTATGTAGTGCATTGATGAGGATATTTCTGATAAATGCCTACTGCACTTAGCCTATCTTTGTTGTTTTTATGATGTTGTTTTGTTTGAATAAGCCAACTTATGTTCATTTCTGGTGTATAAAAAAATATGTAAAGTAGTGTGTAAAGCAGGGCTGTTGTGGAAACACCAAAAAAAAAAAAAAAAAAATAAAAAAAAAAAGCACAAAGTATCCCACAGATGCGCTTGTGTTTTTCAAGGAAGACTTGTTTTTAAATTTAATTTATTGGAATTGGATTTATTGTTTTTTAAAAGGTGAACTTGTTGTTTTAAGATGCATTTAGAATGCTTACAAGCCTGGCAGAAATAGCACAGGCTACAATTACTACTGGTGGAAAACTCCCATGTTTAGCTGTGCTTTTTTTGTTTTTTTCTCTTTCCTTTTTTGTTATTTTATCAAGCTGTGATAAATGGCAAACTATTTGTTAGCTGATAAATTGACTGCTGATGGTTTGTCATAGTATATACTTAGATCCTATTTATATTTAGGCCTTTATTACCAACTTAAGTAGCCATGAAACCTTGTCTCAATCCGTATAGATACAAAATGGGATAATAACTTTGCTTTAATTGACCCACTTGGACTCCATAAGTTTTTAATTAGGAATCAAGTGCGTGAAAAATGTGTTTTGGGCTGTTTTTGCCAAGATGTTAGTGATGTGTAGTGTGTGTGTGTGTGTGTGTGTGTGTGCTGCTGCCCTTTTCTGCATCATATATTGCTAACAAAAGAGGACTCAAAGTAACAAGTTATTAATTGGATAAAGAAGATGCAATGGTAAAGGGTGCCAATGTTTGAATATTGTTACCTGGTAATATCAAGTTACATGTGGGCATGGCTTGTTGGCTTGCATTATGCAGGCGCACAACACCCATTAAAAGCTCCAAATTCTGTTGCATCCTCTTTCTGCAAATGTGTTGGCGATTTAAAAAGTTGCCAAAACCACTAATTATTCTTCAGTGGTAGGATACAAAAAAATGTTCTACAGTATTGTGCCTCATATGAAAAAATTATCTCATAGTTGGCATGACAATTACAGTAGTTTTAAAAGAACCAATCAGCACTTTTAAAGTGTTTAATGTTTCTTTAAATGAATAAGTTTGTATAATTTGCTTACTTAAAAATCAATAAATATTTAAATAGAAAAAAAAGAACAAATCAGCAGTCAAGCAGTCACTTTCTATTGTTCTATTTGACTTTGCTGAAACCTTAAATCCCATTGGCTGGGGTGTTTAACATTACTTCCATGCTTTTGTTCATTATCTCGAATATGAGCAATATTTGGAACTACAAGTTCCAGCATGTCTAATTCAAATCAGTCCTGCAGTTCCATTATAAGTATTCTAGGCTCTCACATAGATTTAATTTTTTTTTGTATTCTTGAAGCATGTAAAATATAATAAATTTTATTTTTTTTTTAATTTTGCTATTTTATTTTTACTTAAGTGTTCATGGAGAAAGAGAAAAGGGATTTGGGTTGTTCAGTTGGCAGTTTTGTGCTTGAATATACAAGCCTTTGTTTTAATGACCCTGTTATGTGAGTTGGTGGTATTATTGCATTATGCTACTATTTACACCTTCGGATTTGCACTGAGCGTAACTTGTGTTTCTTGTCAAAGTTGGAGACTTTGATCAGTACTTAGGTCTCCTCATCCCTTACTTCTGTCTTGTTTGCACTTGGTTTAAAGTCATTTATTATTTTTTTTTTTTTTTTTTGGAAATCCACTGTTGGTTTTGATATAAGGAGACTCCCTACAGGCATTGACAGTTTCAATCCCTGGAGGTTTTCTGCTGTAGACATTTTAACCATAAAAAAAAAAAAACCCCTATCACTTCTATCCCTGCATAAACTGATTTCTTAAACAAGAGGTAATTTATAAGGGCAATTAGGCACTTAAACTAACTGCAGCACTAAGAGGGGTTTTATAGGTATTTGGAGGCGGTGGCCTAGACTGGGATAGTGAAGTGCCTATTCATCGGCTCTCAGAACTGGACTCCAGACTATATTTAAGTTTCATAAACTGGGGAGGGGAAACAAGAAGGCCAGGAGTATAATTTTTATTTCTGGGAAATTAGCTGAAATGTAAAATTGCTGGGCTTTAAAGATGATATGCATTACAGAATTAATGTGCTTTTGTAGGCACTTTGCATGGATTTTTCGGTAATTCCATATATCAATGTGTCTCCACATGTCTCTTACAATTATCAAAGATTTTACATTGTATATTTTCCTATTGAAATGGTGTGTATAAATAATATCATGTGGTCCTCCAGACAGGACCACAGCTTGGACTGCAGTACTGGTGTATATTTCACTATATCATCCAGATTTATGCTCGTTACTTTTTTTTTTTTTAATAAATAGGATTTTGTGACATAATTTTTCTGTTGTCCCTTTTGTGATACTGTCCCTGGAAAAACAGATGGATACAGTGAGAATGATTGTATTTTTGCTTGGCAAAGTAAATACAATCTGAGCTAAGTGAATAAAGTTAAGAGGGGGTCAAATGTCCAATTATGTACAAGACAACCCCCCCCTCCTTTTTAATATTGATTTATTTTTTGAATTTCCATTTACATGTTTAAATCGTCAAAGCTGACATAGCTTCACCCTGTTTTTCTTTTATTTCTACTGTTTCTTGAAATCCTCTATTATCCATCTATGGTGACTAATGATTCCACATTAATAATGTAGTCTTATTCTTGAATCATAGCCATGTCCTTGCTTATACTTCTAAAACAGAGCTGCCATCTGAGTACACAAAATATTTCAAAGCTGAACTGCGGTTTTTTTTTTAATAAATTATATATTCTCTATAATTATGTAAGTATTTCATGGGTATATATATGTGTATGTGTGTGTGTGTGTGTGTGTGTGTGTGTGTGTGTGTGTATATATATATATATATATATATATATATATATATATATATAACACATATGGATGTTAGGATGAGCTCCTATAGCATATTCCACTTTCTTTGCACCATACAGAAATTAGAATACTGTGGGGTGTTTGTGTTGTTTTTTTTTTTTTTTTTTTTTTTTTTTTTTTTTACTACTTGCAGTAAAATTGGTATATTCCCGATTACCGTGGATATTGTACCCTATAACACCCTTACAATACTAAAAGTTGAATATTACAAAAAAAGTGTGTGTGTATGTATATGTATATATGTATATATATATATATATATATATATATATGTGTGTGTGTGTATATATAATTCATTTTTTTTTTTTTTTTTAATTTTAGCATATACAACCGACAGCTTTCTATAAATTTGTTTTCAATTTTTTCTAGTTAAAACTTTGTTAGTAAAAACTCCATGCTATGTACACAATGCACATTTCCATGCATTTTAGTTGAATTTGTTGTATGCTGTGTATATGCAGTGCCTTAACTACATCTGGCTATTATGTGAACACCTCCCCTTTCAATGGCATCTGCACTTCTTAATTTAATCCTGAATACTCACTGTGCCAAAGCTGGAAAGGCATTTTCTGTTTAAGGTCCGCATTCAGAGATGTGTTTAATGTGTTTTCTACCAAAAGCAATAGGACACATTTGTCAGAATAATCAGACGCTAAAAGACTGGAAGGAAACTGCACAGAAAAGTATAGCGTGGGTATACCATTGTATTACCTATCTGTAATTTGCTGCCCAGTCCATAGGAATTCCTCATTGCTACCCATAGTATTCTGTACAGGGCTGTAAGCAAAATGCACATTTTTAAACTTCTTGCTGCATCCACCAAGGTCTCACCCAACCCAATAAAAGCTTTTGGGGTCAGCCTCAGAAAGAGATTTATATTCCAAGCTGAATCATGGTTAACTCCTAGGATTTCAGGTGGCCTATGGCATTTATATAGGACTGTGTACAATATGGCATTCATATAGGCAATGTGCTCGCATTACACAAAGTGAATAGAACTCGTTTCTTAATTTAATACAAACCGTCTGCAGCCTCTCTGTTTAAAACTCTCCATTTCAGGGCTTTTAAAAGGCCATTTTAGAGATAAACAGAGATGATTTTAATTCGATGGAAGAATACGATGGCACACAGTTTGATAGGAAGGAACAGAAAAAAAAAAGAAAAAAAGATATCAGATTTTAAGATCTCTTGTTTTTATTCCTGCCTTGACATTTATTTTGGAAAGTCAGTTAAGTGCCGTTATTGTAACCCTCAGCACATGTAACCTCTCAAATCATCTTGTTTTCATTTAATGGGAGCGGGTGTGGGAAGAAAGTTTTGAGAGAGCCCAAAATCGCTTCCACCCCTTGAACCTTCTTTAGTTCTGATTAACAGATAAATTTGCTAAAGCATTTCACCCTGCAGTTTTAAATAGATGCCCATTAGGGAATGTTATTTGAGAAGGTCCTAATATTCAGGAGCAGTGTAGGGTTTATATCTACTTTTAAACCCAACAAAATTATATTTATTCTGCCACAGCGCTGTAGATTATAAACAATTGCCATTTTTTTTATGCATTAAAGAAACCCCTGGTTTTCATCCCTCTTCTTTTTATTTATTTATTTTTTTGGTGATCCTTAGTTGCATTTTGGTTCTGATGATCACTTGCATCCTCTCTGCAAGCATTTTCTGTCTCAGCAATGATTGTATAGCATCTCTCAAGGCACGTTTCCTTCTTCACACTTGGAAAATGTGTGTTGAAAGGATCATTTGTAGTCTTCAGGTGACAACACAGGAGCACAGTTAGGAGACAGGGATTGAGTGTTGCCACCTTAAATTACAAGTGCCTGAAAAATAACTTTTTATAGCAGGATAACCAGGTATTACTCTATTGAAAGATGGTATAGCTTATATATACTTTAGGCTGGGTTCATACTTTGAGGGACTTGTGCAAAATCACATGCTTTCCCAACATGCTGCCCTTCAGGAGATGCACGGCAATGCCAATAATTGATAATGGCACTCTCATGCTCTGCTAACGTGCATACCAATGTGCCACTGCACCATGCATCTTGAGGGGGACTTTTGTGCTTTGCTCAAATGTAGGGCCTTTACATATGATGCATGTGACTGTCCGGAAACGCATGTGCATTCCATCAAGCTCACAAATATGACCCTAGCCCTAAATTAATTCTGAGCATGTTTTGTTTGTTTTTTTTATTGGATGTCCATCATAGTTCACCTCTAGAGGGCCTCTGGGGTTGAAGAAATTCACTGTAGTAACTTATGGTACTTTTTGCATGTGACTCAAGGGACTTTCGGTCTATATACTAAACCCGGGGTTGTGCACTCAGCGCGTCTTCTCCATTCTGAGGATGTGTTTTTTTGTTTTTTTTTTTTCAATAAATATAAATTTGGTACTGGGTGTTCTATAATGCACACAGTTTCATATCAAAGGAAGCTTTGCTTCTTTCATTGTAAGGAACAAAACTAGTTGTGTTCATAAAAACAGGCTGTTCCTAAAAGGAACATAGAGGGAGATGGCTATGATGGAAAGGTGGCTTTATTTTACTCCAAGAACAATTATGGTTGTGGCAAGGGCTGCTAGTAGAGGGGTAGAGTTGGCCCTATGGTACTGAGCTTGGCCCCCATAAGTTCAGCAGGCAGGTTGGAGGCAGAGGAGATACTCTTTAAATACCTTTTGGGTGCATGCGCAGTAATCCCATGGGTTGTGGCTCCCAGGAAATTAAAGAGTGAGCCCCATCACTTCAGCATCAGGAGTTGGTAATAGAGAGGGGACTATTTACTCATTTTCTGGAGCAGACAGCTAATCCTCATACCAGGGCTCCCAACAATTCAAGTTCCAGCCTCTTCTTTTATATTGATCAGCCAGGAAAAGTTGGAACTTTTAATATATTTGTCATGTGCTGCAGCATGGAGGATTACTCCTCCTGATCCCAAAATTAGTAAATAGTCACCTCTCTATTACAATAGTACCAGCTCCTGCTGCTGAGGACCAGAGAACTTTTATTCAACTGCTGGTAGGGGTTGGGGGACACTACATCTCTATCAGACTGGATTTATTGAGAAGGTCCCCCCTCAGGCAGGCTGTGTGGTGGCTTGCGATTTCCAATGGTGGCCCTGGTTGTAGCTGTATGCTGTTTTTAGCAGTTAAAGGGTCAATCAACCCAAAGCTGATAGCTAAAGCTGGCCATATAAAGAGCAAATCCTGATGAACCAGACGATAGTTGCTCAATGGGTGGCCCTGATTACCCTGTTCCATTTGACAAACGTTGATCAACTTTTGTTGAAGCAGTCTGCTGGAATAATTTAGGCTGAACAGAAGCTGAATCCAATCAGATGTGGCCACTGAGGGAGATTTGTCCATCCACACTGTTTAGTGTGGATAGAAGAACCTGTTGGATTTCTTTTGTTCAGTCTCCAGGCTAAATGAAAAAAATCCTAATGGTGTATAGCCAGCTTACTGATTTATTTATTTATTTTTTCTCCGTATAACTGTAGCCTTACTTGTAGTTGAGGAGACCCCCTTTCCACCCAATATAATGCCTATTAAAGGGTCATTGTATCCAAAACTAAAGTTTTAGGTTTTGATAGGTGCTGGAGAGTTGATTCACCTAATAATGTCTTGAGGGCTCTATCCCTATTTGATCTTTTTTTCATATTCTGAAAATTGCAAGAGAAAGATCTTGAACAAGCAAACATGGGTGGTAACACTTCCAGGTAGACTGAAGCAGAAGACAGAAATAACTTATAGGTGGACAGACACTTTAAAATGGTTTGAGAAATGATGGCAGTTAAACAGCTATGCTCTAACCACAAGCTTAGATTGAATGCCATTTCACTCCACAGTGCTGCTCCTAGGTCAATAATAACAATGGTGGCTTGTTTTCCAGCCTTTCTTTGTGCCTGCTGTAGATATGTACCACCAATTACTCAAGGTATGAGGGCCCTAGATTTGTACTACCAATTACTTGAGGTATGAGGGCCGTAGATCTGGATCATCAATGAGGACCCACATGATTAAAATACCATTCAGCATTATTCAAATACTGATCAAAAAACAAAGTTTAGTCCCTTTAAAAAAATACATATTCTGTATTCTGATAACTAAAGATTAGTTATGTTTTGTCCTAATTAACAATAGTTCCATCTTGTACAATATGTTATAGGGTGTAACATGATGCAAAGCACCATTGAAAAGTATTGATGGACCAGCCTGGCACTGCACTATGTGCCTATTCTAATTATTGAGTTGTGTTATCAAGCATCAATACTTTAGTTGCATTGTTGCAATGTGATACCATTTGTTTTGAATGACATCCTAATGCACCTTTCTCCATGGAACACACGGGGATGCAGGAACATGTGTTGCAGTGTTTGGCCAGAATTGGTAAATGCGCCTTTTTCGGTGCGTTATTGTGCATTAGGTAGCCTATTCAATGCAATGCACATTAACATACAGCATAACAGGGTGTGAATGGGCTCCAAATATGGTACTATGTCCATTAATATGGCCACAAACTTTAGTTTTCGATGTACCAATAACTATCTAGCATGAAGGTATCTTGTGCAGTGATCAATTTAACTTGTCTTCTGTCGAACAGGGCCTCACACTACATAGTTATTGGTAAATATTGCTGATCTATTCAAACACAAATGAATGCAGCTTTATATTCATCATTATGAAAATTTTATTTTTTTGAATGCCAGCATTGTTAATACCTGCATTTGGCTTGGTATTAACCACATACAGTCACTCACTGCAGTGCTCATCCTAGGGGCAGAGAAGCAGCACAAGGACCCAGTGAGTTGTGCTGTGGTGCTCATGTGCTAGCAAACAACCTGTTGATTGGGTTTGAGAGCAGAGTAACAGAGAGATGAGCTCATCAGTCACCTACTTCTCTGTTCACTGTCCAGTCAGGCGGCAGCCAACAAGATCTGTTAGTGTTACAGCAGAAAAGAATCTGGTATCCTGTCCTACCAGACAGGGCTGCACTGTGTGGCATAACTGTGTAAATCTCAGGACTGGATGAACAAAACTACAAATACTCTGGAGGATAGAATTGCTACTGTAAATGTATTTAATCTGTGTTTGTATCTGTTTGTAGCACCAAAGAGTGTGGTGCACTTTTGGAAAGGGACTTTTTTTTTTCTGTGTTTCTCTATAGAGCAGCTAGGTAAAATGAATGAGCTGCCCTACAGGCAATGTGCAAGAACGTGCAGAAAACATGTGCTCGTCACACCTGTATGGTGTGAACCTAGCTTTACCAATAAGTTTGTTGTGGGAGGGCCTAAATCAGGGGTCTCCAAACTTTACAAACAAAGGGCGAGTTTACTGTCCTTCAGACTTTAGGGGGGCAGGATTGTGGCCAGTGGGGGTAGAAAATGTCCCAGGCCCAACATCAGTGAGAATAAACTTTGCCACAGGGTGGTAGTCAGTTACATAGTGCCTGTGGTCAGTAGGAGGAGGAATAGTGGCTCATGATTGGGAGGAACAGTACCCCATCATTGGTATCCGTGGAAGAAATAGCAACTTATTGCTTGAGTCAGTGAGAGGAATAGTGCCCCATTATTGATCTCAGTGGGAGGAATAGTGCCCCACTATTAGTGTCAGGAATTATGCCCCACTGTTTGTTTTGGTGGAAGGAATAGTGCCTCACATCAGTGGGAGGACTATTACCCCAAGGGCCGGATAAAGGCAAGCAAAGGGCCTCATCCGGCCCTCAGGCCACAGTTTGGAGACCACTGGCCTAAATGATTGCATGTAAATGTATTGTTTTAAGCAAGCCCTTTTGTTTTAATGTCAAGAATATTTTGCACAGCTCTATTACCGTGATATCCATAACATTTATTTGCAGTGATCATTGTATTTTGTATTTTTCAGGGAGCAGAGAAACTGCCTTCACGTATGCCATCAGTGCTGCTGGAGTTGTGAATGCAATAAGCCGAGCTTGTAGAGAGGGGGAGCTCTCAACCTGTGGCTGCAGTCGGGCAGCCAGGCCTAAGGATCTGCCCCGGGATTGGCTGTGGGGTGGCTGTGGAGATAATCTAGATTATGGCTACAGGTTTGCCAAGGAGTTTGTGGATGCCAGGGAAAGAGAAAAAGTCCATCAAAAAGGAACGTATGAGAGCTCCAGGACTCTGATGAACCTGCACAACAATGAAGCTGGAAGGAGGGTAAGTGGTCCTGTTTTTAGGGCAAGGTTACATAGAAAGTCTTTGCTGAGCACTTGAGCTTTGCATCATGTGGGTACGGAAGCTGGTGTTCCTGGCAGATATGCAACATTGAAAGAAGATCTTGATCGGAGGCATAAAATGACATTATCTAGGCTTGGAGCTGAAAGAATCCTCTTCTGACTAATGCAATATTTAATGGGTTACTCCTTTTATAAGCTGTTGTTTCAGTTTTTGGTAGATGCTGGTGAGCTATTTTAGATTCTGGAAGTGTTACAACCTCAGGTCAGGCTCTGCCCACACAGAATGGAGCTCCACTCTATTTTCTTATAGTTATTTGAGGAATGTTGGTGATACACCAGTGCAAACCAAGAAACCGGATAATAGAAGGGCTGGAACATGCAAAGGTCAATGACAGCACCTAAAACTCCCAAGTGATTAGGCAAAGAGGCTGGAACTCTGTCAGGTAAATCTTACTGCTGGAATATAAAAGACGTAGAACTACCCAGAATCTAGTTCAGTTCACCAGGACCATGCATAACTAAAGCTAAACTCCAGCCTTACTTTAAGTTTTGCACAGTGGTACAGACTCTTCTGCAATACTGAAATTGCTTATTCTGTTTTCTCTGATTCTCAAGCTGAAGCAAGGCATATAGATCCCACCTTATTTCCTGGCTGGAGGATGTTCAGCATCATCTAGCTCTGTTGTCCCCAACCTTACTGCCCCTAGCACACACCTTTCATTCATTGGATTTCATTCAGTTATGGAGGCTCAGCATCATATGTTGGTGTTGCCTACAGAGGTCTGCTTACAAAAGAAGTCTGCCTAGCAATATAGTTGCCTAGTTAGTTTGAAAAAAGTACATCTAGTTCAACCAATAGAAAAAAAATAAATGAATAGAAAACCTCAATATACAGAGTCCTATACCCACAGTTAATCTATAGCAGCCATTCTCAGCCAGGGTTTCGTGGAACCCTAAATTTTCTCCAGAGTTTGCTAGGTTTTGCTTGAGCTGTGGCTGATTTACCTCCCATTTGGTGGTACCTGCATAGTTCTAGGGCAAGGACCACTTGGCAGAGCTGGCAGCAAGATACCAAATGTCTTTTAGCTGTCAGGCTTGTATTCTCCCGATTTTATCCTCCTATGTAAAACATATTCTGTCCACTGACTAAGAATGTAAGGGGCAATTATCTAATTGACCTCTTAATAATTGGTTTAAGCATGGGGTTCCTTGAGATGTGAGGATGTATTAAAGGGGTTCCTCTTGGGGAAAAGGGTGAGAGGCTGATCTACAGGAAGGAAAAAGAAAACTCCTATGAAACATGGCCCAAGTTGGCCTTGGGTTGGATGGGAGTGGGGATTGGGGTTGTTTGGCGAACGCATTCTTTTCTGATCGTCCCCAGGAGGCAATGAACTGTTCCCTTGACAATTTCTGGTGGTATTACCTATAAATATTAGTACATATGATACTTTGTGCATTTAAACATGCCTCCAGCTATTTTATTTTAAACCATCTAATGATATGACCAGAACTTTTTTCTTGAGGGAGTCTATTCCACATTTTTACAGTTCTTACTGAGAAGAAGCCTTTTCCCCCCACTAGATGGAACATCTATGTATTTACTGTATATGTGGTGATCATATCCTCCTTAAAAACTCCTCCAGACTGGCATCCACTCATTAAGTCATTTTGATTATGGCATAACTAGAGCCAGCCCATTGCTTCAGTTAGGGGTGATCACTCTTTAGAGGTGTACTGGGGAAGTGTAATGTCATGTTTTCCGGAAGAACTCTACAGGCTCCTCACCAGCCATGATCTGTCTGATAGAGAAGCAAACAGCAATGGTAGAGAAGTACAGAGACCCAGTAATGACATCACTGGATCTAAAATAGAGTATGTAATAAAAATCTGAAGTTTTATTTAAACATTTAATTGGCATGCTAATGAGGGGGAGGAAGGCAGAAACTAGGGGAAGCAAGATATAATAAACTTCAGCTTTAAAATACCTTTTTTGGGTAACCTGCCCCTTTTAATGTCCAGTGTACTTAGGTCTTTCAGAATATGTGGCTTTTGAATTTGTGCAATGACTGATGGTAGTGGACCAGGAGTAAACTGAAATCTGATTAGTTGCTCTGACACCTTGCCATGGCTCATCACACATTTGGTAACTTAGCAAAATGATTGCAGTGCTTTGTACTGGAGCATGTTAATTTTGAAAATGACATGCAGTGTTCTGTTAAATGGCATCAACACGTTCTTGCTGACCCAGACCTAAAAATGCAGGTTGGGTATTATGACGTTCCTATAGCTTAGCTAGCTGCATGCTTGTTCCTGTCCAGTGTCTTAGAAAATATTGAAGTCAGAAACAGCCAGGCCACTGGTATTTTCACATGTCAGTAATGGCAGCCTACGCACAGGACCTATTTCAAACTAAGCCCAGCACATCATTCCCATTGATTTAAATTGCCCCTAGATTGGCAGAAAGCAGCATGAAATTTATACTGGTGCTGGATGCACATACACCGTATTTGAGGCCATATATTTTTGGGCAGACTTTGAAAATCTAGCTGATACTAATTATGTATGATCACTTCTTTTGATAAAGATTTCTCTATGCTTAATTAAAGGGCCAATCCATTCAAGCATGATTTTTATTATGGGTGGTGCCTTGTGAGTTTCATCAACTCCTGCCTTGTTTTGTTTTTCTTGAATACTCCAACAGTGAGATCTCCTTACTTTAATTCCAGACCTTTTTTTTTTTAGTTGGAAGCTTGGAGTGTTCCAGCCACCCTTCTTTTTTTTTTTTTTTTTTTTTTTTTTTTTTTTTTTCTCTGTTTCAGCTCATCATGTTGTATTCTCTATAAAATGAAATACATTTCTTCAACAGGGAGAGTGAGAACCCCTCATAATGGTAAGATCTGCAGACCTAGGAACATGTTACAAGGCTCTTGCCAATAGAGTTCCCGAGAGACAGAAGACTTGTCAGGTAGTTTAAGTCTCCAACATCTACCAAAACCTCTGTTTAGGGTGAATTATCTTATTATTGGAGATCATATCAACCAGTCAGAAATCACATTATAAGGTTCTGGCTGTTTTATAACTTCCTTATTTTGCAAGTGTCTACCCACTTTCCTATATCTCAGTTCATATTTATTAGAAATGGAATCTCAGAACAATAACTTGGTTGGTCTTGGCATAATCTGGGACATTTTTACAACAGTTTCTTCTAGTGCGTAGGTGCTTTTATGAGTTATACATTGAATGACAAATATTTGGAAAGAGAGATGTTTTATGAGAAGTTTGAGATAAAAATGTTTATAAAAGTAATTGGCTGAATGCAAGTAAACATGCACTTGTGTGTTTTCTCTGGGTACTCCTGTTTCCTCCTACACTCCAAAGATACGCTGGTGGGTTAATAGCTGGCATGCACTCACTGTTCAGCTGACTATTTTCCACCTGGCCCTTGATAAATTGGCCTTTGTCGAGCTGGGTGGTGCTTACAGGATACCGCTGTTCATTTGGCAGCCTTTAGTATGGTAGTGCAGGACTACAAATCCCAGCTGCAACCTCCTCTGGAAGACTCTGGTAATTGTTGAGTGGCTAATACAGCTCCAGTATGCATTTCAGGCATTGGGCAACTGAAAAGTAAAGCTCCAAGGTTAGAAGTGCAACAAAGTTGGGTCATCATAGTAGGGATGATGGGATGTGAACGTTTATTATTTGAAAAGATATATATATTTTTTTTCTCTTTTGCAGTTTTTGATTATATGTAGTTACTATTTAAAACCCTTTTTTAGTTTTAGCTCATATTTATGTACTGTATGTATTTTCTGTTGTAGCCCTGCCAGCTGTCAAAATACTCAAACAGCAGCTGCATCTGATTGGATGCAGCCGATGCTGGGTTGACAGTTTTCTTCCTGGTTCCTTAGATGTTTCAATGGAAGGCTATCAGGCGAGAGGGTGGCTACAAAGCCACCAACTGATTAGACTTTGGCCAGTTCATCAGAAATCGGCCTACATTTGCACAGTGTATGGCCAGCTTAAAGAATAAGTTCACCTTTCATAACATGTTACACCCATCTCAGGGTGTAACATGTTACTTACTGTAGCACTGGTCTGTGCACCCCCATTGTGACAGCGAGCGGGGGATCTTCTTCCCCTGCCCGCTGTCACAATTTTTAAAAACAAAATGCGGCCTTGAGGGACTCAGCCTTGGCCTACCCAGCCACCTCACTCATTCAGAGTTCTGTGAAAACTACAAGTACTGACAGCCTTTGCTGCTATTTGCTTGTAGTTCTCAATGAACTACCTTGGTGCTGTTGAGCTTTGTGGTAGTTCATTGATTCTTCCTGACAGTCTGTAGGAGTCCTGCATTGCACCAATGAACTTCTGATCACAAGTGCAATACTTTCCAGGCTCCTACAAAAATAGTTCAAGCTCACAAAACTTTTTTTTTTTTTTTTCTTTAGGTGAACTTATCCTTTTAAGGGAATAATTTGCAAATCTTGACTTGACTGTTCTGTTGAAGAAAAAAATAATTCTCTGTATATGTTATAGGGTCCAAGCACACTAGGGGCAGAAATAATGCCAGAACCTCTGACAGAAAATGTCAGCAGAAAAAATGTACATCGTGGCTCATATTGCACAAAAGTTTGAGTGTAAAAGGGCATTTTTCTTTTATGAGTGTTTTTCCAAAACCTTCACCTCTGCTCATTTTTCAGTATAATCAATGTACACTTGAAAACACCAAACACTCATAAACCCACCTAAACATGACGTGTCGGAGTGTTTTTTTTTTTTTTTTTTTTTCCTTCCTGAAAGCTCCTTTCAAAAACATGATTATAAAGGTGTTTTTTTTTTTTTTTTTTTTGCTTTCTCTAAATGCTCCTCTGAAAATATGCCTGTAAATTCCCTAATGTGCATAGACACATTGGAGATGGTTTACTGAAACTGATGAGTGCAGTATCTGGAGCAGCTCTGCATAGAAACCAATCTATTTAA